CCCCCCCCCCCTGACTAAGATCAACAGTGTCGTGCTCGTTGATCGCCCCCAACAATCCACTGTTGGTTAATGAACACTCGCTAGTGGGGGCTCGTGGAGTGGCTAAGTCGTTGATGGTGCCCCGCTTGTCAATGATCACGTTTCTGGACCAGCGCGTGCGAACGTTTGTGTTGCAGGTCATGTCCCGGTTGAATGCAGCGACTGGCACGTCGGAGATGCGTAGTGAGTCGGAGATTCCGCAACGTCAGTACACTGTGGACCGTGTGACGAGTGCGCGTCGTGCGGTGTCTTGTGTGCGTTCGACGACGGTGGTATCTCGCTTCGAGATGGAGCGTCAGGAGTTGGAGAAGCGGTTGGTGTCTAGTCGCGTGTTGGAGGACTCGACGGGGGCGGCGACGACGAATACAAGTGTCTCAGCATGGGTGGCTGAGTATGGGGCGGATAGCGTGGGCTACGACGAGTTTGGGGAGTTCCTAATTAAGCGCGTTGAAGTGCAGACGGTGGAGCAAGTGACGAAGGAAGTGCGTACGGTTGAGCGGAAGGAGACGGTGGTGGAGCGGAAGGTTCCTCACTACGAGGACCGAGTAGTGGAGGTACCCAGGCCCGAGACGAGGAAGCGCGACGTCGTGAAGGAGGTGGAGAAGGTGGTTGAGGTAGAGGTGCGCAAACCAGTTACGCAGGTGGTGGAACGTCCGGTGCCGAATTACATCAAAAAACCTGTGATTCAAGTGGTGGAGGTGAAGAAAGAGGTGGAGGTGGCGGGTGAAGTGATTGAAGTACCGAAGCCGTACACCGTCGACCGGCCCGTAGTGGTGCCCAAGTACTTGGACAAACGCGTACCAGTCGTCATTGCCCAGGCCTTCTTCCCGATCATTGTGGAGGCTAGCGAAGACGTCTTCGTCGACGTCGATGCTCGTATCATCAGTTTCGCCGTTCAACAGCGGGATGTCTACGTACCGTTGCCAGTCCAACGGTCCATGTACTTCGAGTCCATGGTGACGCAACACCGCGCCGTCGCCTCGCACTTGGTTCCCGGCTGCCAGATAAACAGTCTCGTCCGTGCACTGAACGACAGTCTCACCTTCGACGAGGCCTCCGACCTCTTCCAGTACGGTCCTAGCCGCGGAGGCAAGTTGACGCAAACCACCAGTAGAGGCGGCGTCTACATGCACTCCGGAATTGGCTCCTACGCCGTGCCACTTCAAGACGACAAGACTGTCATCTCCAAGGTTGCCAACGTCCAGCAGCTCACTCCTCATCAACTCATTGCACAACACAAACAGCATCTTGTCCCCGGCCACAGCTACACCGGCGCCCACTATACTTCTAGCGGAAACTATACCTCTGGCGGAAACTATACGTCTAGCGGAAACTATGCGTCTGCTGGCAACTACGCCAGCCCCAACAGCTACACAATGGGACAGAGCACGACTACCAATTACCATCCCGGTCATGTGACGACGAGCCAGGTCACGACGAGCAAGACCACCACTACCACTCTCGGCGGCACTCTCGGAGGCACTCTCGGCGGCACTCTGGGAGGCGCAACCGCGGCCGGTGGCGCGAACACTATCTTAACCACTGCCCTCGGCAATACTTCTACCCTCGGCAATACTTCTGCCCTCGGCAATACTTCTGCCCTCGGCAATACTTCTGCCCTCGGCAATACTTCTGCCCTGGGCACCTTCGGAGCGAGCCATACTCACGGAGCCAGTCATGCACCCAGCGCGGGAACGAGTGCGGCTGGAAGCACAACCCTTGGAGCGACGATGGGAGCTGGCGGCGCGGGCTCTTCGCTCGGGTACTTCGCGACGAGACTGGCTTCTCAATCCCCCAACCATAATGCGGTGCAAAATGAGGTGTTTTCAATGAACTACGGCGAGTCACAAAAGGGCCAGCGAATAGCTTCCCAGTTCCTCCAGCCCTCCATTGAAGTCCAGAATGTAGGCTCGCACAACGCCAGCGTCGTAAGCAGCGAGGACGGAGACGACACCTTGACCGTGGACATGGAGCCAGCGAGCCTGTGTGCGGTGGAAAGCGTGGCAGCCGATGCCGAGCAGGACAGCGAGGAGGTGGCAGCTGAACCCGCCGCGAGTAAGAAAGGCAGTCTGGTCGACTGGGTACGGGACAACTTGCTCAGTGAACTTATAAGCCAGTAGTTAAAAACTTTTTTCGTCTACCTCAGGGTATAATCTTCATCCAAAAAAATTCAAGTGCGTTCTAACATCGTCTAGATCTGAGCTATCCAATCGGGATTCGTAATTAACATTGGCCTAAGATCGATCATTCATGGGTCGCCCACGGGGACGTTTGTTAGTGAAGGAAGGGGGCAAGGGGTTGAGGGCGCATACCAAATATTGGAATAATCTAAATTCGAAGCTTGGTAACGACTGGCTTACGTCATCCTGGTATTCATAGCTAGTGCATATTGAGCAGGGAGGGGCTGGCGTCAGAGCCATCAAACAAACAGGCGTAGCTAACCGCCGGAATTGCGCCGCTCGGTCAGAACTCCACAAAGAAGAGGAGGAAGGCTGACGACAAATACTCCGATCCTTCAACGTGCCCCGACAGGAGGCCAAAAAAGTAGATAACGTTGTTGCCGAAATCGGACTGGCCTCATCCACCCATCTACAAAGAAGTGCGTGTCCACACACTATTAGCATGTTGGATATATCACGGGTGACGGTGCATAGATGGGTGATGATGCATAGATGGGTGATGATGCATAGATGGGTGATGATGCATAGATGGGTTGAGCTTACGCGCTTCCGACGCACAAAGAGATTGCGAAGGAATCAATAATCTTCATGACCGCGCCGCAGTCTCGTACTTTGACAAATTCGGCCGTTTTTGGCTTGGACTGCGAAGCACGGCCGATTCTGGCAGTAGCTCGGTTCACGAGGGAGAGGCCGAAGTTCTGCACCATCAGCCGCGACGAAGCGGCCGCGGCCTTGAGGAGCATGCCTGTGGACAGTTGCTTGTTCAATGGTTTGCCACAGGGTTCTGCATCGGCCTCTAATTCTTGTGCCTCGATCGGGCCAGCACCGTCACCGGAAGAGGAGCTGCCCCTAATGGTCGACGTGCTGCCCAAGGTGGTGGACCGGCTACCGAGAGAACGCGAGGCGGTCTCACCATCTATCGTCACCGAGCCTCCTACCTTCGGCGCCAGGGTCGTTTGCTTGCAGAAGCCTCCGACCTCACCCAAACCTGGCGATTCGTCCGAACATATAACGCTCGCTGGCGACAACATAATATCATACACATCTTTGCGATAGCCTTGGACGACACAAATGTCTTCAGGATTCCGTCGCCGGGTCCGTCCAGCAACTTGGCTCTGGCCAGCAACTTGGCTCTGGCCAGCGACTTGGCTTTCGCCAGCAACTTGGCTCTCGCCAGCAATGGTAGTTGCTTTTTTTACGTCACTGACCCTCCTGTTCTGGAGGGTAGTCGGTCCTGGGGCGGTAGGGACCCCGAGGTTCAAACTACCTGCATGGTTGCTCGCCAGCGACGAGCTAGCAGCGGTGCTGGCGAGGTCATCCTGGTTCAGGGCGGCTGGGTCCCACCCGACGCCTGCTTGGCCGCAAGGAGCGCCTTCACCTCCTTTAAGGTGGAAGCGGCTGGTAAAGGCCAGCGCCGCCGTTAGGATCATGGTGGGATCAACTTGCGGCAGGGGGGGTGGTCGCGGTCTATAGCGCGCCAAAAAGAGCCGTTCCTCCTCTCTCTGCAGCAGCGAAATCCACGAGAGCACGAGGCCAACGGCGTTCTCCTGCACAAACCAAGGACATCTCGGCCGCTTCTGCCGACACACACAACAAGATGTCTTCGACAAGATCCAAACGGCGCGCGCCAACGCGAAAATGGTCTCCACCGAGCAACCCAGACGAAGATGCTCCCCACCCAAATACATGTAGGTTTTTTCCGCGCGAGCGAAATCAGAAATCTACCCCGCTATCTAACTGCGCCATTTCCCCACCACACTTGCGTCATAATAATAACTGGCGGGTCGTTACTGCCTAAGGAACGAAAAACAAATCGTGCCGGAAAAGCTGAGCACACGCGTGTGCGCGCGCAACTTAAGATTCATCACGTCGTAAAAAGACTCCAGGCTTGGAGTCTTAAGACTCCAAACCATGTCCTAAACCTGGAGGCCCTAAGCCTGGAGCAAGATGCAGCCCAGACGGAGCTTACAGATCTATAGCAATAATCCGGAGCGGGAGGCGGTTTGTTCTAAGCTTGTTTGCATTGTACGTTTCCGGGGCCTTGTTCATATTCGTCCTCGTCATCTCCCCGTCGGTCTTGGGTCTTGGGGTCGATGTATTTGAGAGAGAGTACTTCGCTGTCCGGGCGCGGCTTCAAAAGGTCTCCCTTGAGTGCTTTTTCGAGTATTTTCTTTTCGGCGTCGGAGAGAGTGGGGAATTTGATATCGAAGCGAATAAAGAGGTTGCCGCGCACGAACATGGATCCGTTACGGGACATGCCTTCGTTTTCGACAGCTAGAACCTGATCTTGTTTTATGGTCTGGTTCAGCTGGATGAATTTCTCCTCCTGGTCGAGAGTGCGTATGTAGAACCCACCTCCACAGAGTGCCTCCTTAAGAGTAATCTCCTTGGTCATGAACAAGTCATCTCCTCGGCGGGTGTATACATCGTGCGGTCGCTGCACGCAGTTGAAGATGACGTCCCCGGGCAACTGGCCGGGCACCTGATCCGCGTCCCCAGTGAAGGTGACTCGGTGGCCATCCGGAGCGCCACGCGGCAGGTGGACTTCCACCACCTTGCGCTCCCGTACTACTCCCTTACCGCTGCACTTCTTGCACTGCTTTCCCGGTGCGCAGCGTTTGCCCTTCGTCCCACATGCACGACAAGGAGCCTGCGACTGACGGATCATGGGCCCCATACGCTCATACAGCAGTTGGATACCCTTGCCACCACAGTCCTCACACTTTTGAATAGCATCCAGCGGACCACCTTCACCCTTACACTCCTCGCAAATCACGTCGTGATTAATCGCCATACTCTTCGTAGCCCCGTTAAAGAAATCCTCCAAGTTAAACGCAATCTTAGACTGCACATCGTCACTCCGCGGCGGACCCCGGCGGCGACCACCGCCACCAAAGAACATCTCAAAAATGCCGCCCTCCGGACCTGTGCCTCCGGTCTCCACTCCCTCCTCACCGTACTCATCGTAGTTCCTACGCTTCTCAGGATCAGACAAAATCTCGTAACTAAAGCACAAATGTATCCACCACCACAAGCACGACCAAGAGGCTGATGTATAGCAGAGTGCCACACTAAGGTGCTGGGGGG